ATAGCAACACAATACCAAAAATGTACAACATACAGGAAATGTTTAAAAAGAATGCAGTCCAACGTGTCAACAGACTTCCTGATTGTGTAAATATTACAATTACTGAGAGATACAATAGGAATAATAAGATTAGGTAATAAATGCAGCAAACACAGCAGGGGGGAGGCCATAAATAGGAGGTGAGCAGGGACACTACAAAGGAGGGGGGGAGGAAAGGGTGTGCAGAGAGCTCACACATCATCATCAGCCCTCACCAGTGTCAGCTCAGGAGCAGTCCACTACCGACCCCTCCACCAGGCGGCGCTGTCCCCGGCCTCCGCTGCGTGGGGTTAACGACTTACCAAAAGCCATAGAGACCCCACTGTGGCTGCTAATAGAGGAGAGGAGAGAGCCATCGATCCCTGTGTCAATTATAGATATTTTAATTAATGCAGAGAGAAAAAATAGAGCGAACACAATCAATGGCACGGGAGATTCGAACATGGGAAAAGTCTATTAAGTGGAATGTTACAAGAATGGTGGAGATATGTTATGGAAAATAAAAATAGAGAGATAGAAAGAAAGGAAGAAAGAAAGAAAGAAAGAAAAAAAATAGATAGATAGATAGATAGATAGATAGATAGATAGATAGATAGAAATGAATGAATTTATCTATAATAATAGAGAGAGTACAGAAAGAAAGATAGATACATAGATAATGAAGGAGAGACATTAGAGAAGAGATAACAGAAGAAGAGAGAGTGAAAGAGGACAGATAGATATAGATAGATTAAAGAGTCGATGTGGAAAAAGAGAGAGAGAGGGAAGAGATAGATAGAGAGAAGAGATAGATAGATAGATAGATAGATAGATAGAATAGATAGATAGATAGATAAATAGATAGATAGATAGATAGATAGATAGATAGATAGATAGATAGATAGAATAGATAGATAGAGATAGATAGATAGATAGATAGATAGATAGATAGTACAGAAAGACAGATTGATCCATAAATAATGATAGAGAGAGATGAGAAATAAAAAAAACAGAAATGTATGTATAGAAAAAAAAGAAAGAAAGATAAATACAATTTATCTATAATAGAGAGAGTACAGAAAGAGAGATAGATACATAGATAATGAAAGAGAGACATTAGAGAAGAGATAACAGAAGAAGAGAGAGTGAAAGAGGACAGATAGATATAGATAGATTAAAGAGTCGATGGGGAAAAAGAGAGAGAGAGGGAAGATAGATAGATAGATAGATAGATAGATAGATAGATAGATAGATAGATAGATAGATAGATAGATAATAGATAGATAGATAGATAGATAGATAGATAGATAGATAGATAGATATTGGAGAGATAGATAGATAGATAGATAGATAGATAGATAGATAAACCTGAATTCGATTTCAGAGAGAGATATAATGTAAAATGTATCTAGATAGACTGTATGCTAGGAGGAAGAAAGAAAGAAAAAAAAGAAAGAAAAATGTAATACATGAAGAAATCCAATGTAGCAGATAGATGGATAGTATAGAGAGAATAGAATGTAGAACAGAAGGAAGCTCTGAGAGTGAGAAGGGGAGATCTGGAAGGACAGGGTATGTGGAAGGAGAAGAGTTTTGGAAGGACAGGGGATGGAAGGACAGGAGATGGAAGGACAGGGGATATGGCAGGAGAGGAGAATTGGAAGGACAGAGATCTGGAAGAAGATGAGTTCTGGAAGGGCAGGAGATGGAAGGAGAAGAGTTCTGGAAAGACAGGGGATGGAAGGACAGGGAATATGGCAGGAGAGGAGATCTGGGAGAGGAGAGGGGATGTCAGTGACTCTGGTGGGTGGGGGGTCCTGCAGGCAGATCTGTGGCAGATCGGATTCCTGGATTGGATCTCCAGGGTGTCAGTAGATCTCAGTCGGATCCCCCCTCTCTCTCTGCCATACAAAAGTGGTCGGTGAATGTCGGGTTCCGATGAATATGAATGGCAGGGCTCCGGCGGTGTGTGGGGAAGCAGCCGGCTCCTTCCATCCCATTTCCTCGCCTTTCTCATGCTAAGTGCCCCATCAGTGTCCGCTCACACTCCGCTCTGCCCTCTATGGCCCCCTTTATCCGGCTCCCTTTGTTATCTTCTAATAGATTAGTCACCTCACTTCCCAGCTGATGATCCTGAAGAACAACTGCAGAACCCCCCACCCCACCCCCCATGACAGGGACACCTAGCTGGCACTGGGGTCCCTGTACACTCACCAGTTTCCAGCCTGGGAAAGGTCTGTGCCTGCTGTCAGCCTCAGGTACTAAGTTCAGGAGATACAGCCAAAGGGCCATGAATGGGCCACCCTCACAATCCCAGGTACCAAGGTTAAATGGTGAGATCTAAGGGCATTGAATGGGTGACCCCCACAGCCCACGTGCCAAGACTAGGAGGTAATATCTAAGCGCAATTAATGGGTAACCCCAGCCTCAGGTACCAGGGCCAGAGATCTAAGGGCATTGAACAGTAAACCCCTCACAACCTCAGGTAACAATGTCTCAGGGCACTCAGTGTGTGACTTCTAGAGCCTCAGGTGCCAGAGCCAGGAAATAACATCTAAGGGCATTAGCTGGGTATCCCCCAAAACCTCAGGTACCCAGGTCAGCAGACAAGATCTTGGGGGGACTGATAGGCCTGTGTATGTGGCACAATAACAGAACATACCCCCCCCCCCCATCCTAACTGCAAACCATGGATGGCAAGGGGCTGCTACTGTGGCCCCTTTCCCATCAGCAGATGCACAAAGACCTGTATTCTGCCACATGAAGGTAGACAATGAATTATTCAAATCTATAAATTGCTGATTTTTTTCTGTAAGCACTCTCTCCAAATGGCAGAGAAGTGGCCCTCAGAAATACCCAGCACAACAAATAAGATGTCAATGCCACACTCAATCTATTGATTGCAGTTCTGTCACTTACTAATATTGGTTAGCAATGTTCAATTTTGCTTCTCCAAACCATCCAGGTGAAAAGTGCAAAGGCAGGCAAAGCTGTTAGAGTTAGCTGGTGCTTCTGTGCCTGCTGCCACCCCCCAAATAGCCAGCACAGAAAATGGTATCAGTGCCCCAGCACCCCTTGTGCTATCAGTGCAGATGCAACCTGCAAAGTCAGACAGGTAGCTGGCACTGGGAGTTCCCTGTAACCCTACAATCCCCCCTCCATAACAGCAGGTAGCTGGCACTTGGGGTTCCCCATGTAACCCTACAAACCCCCAGCAGGGCAGGTAGATGGCACTTGGGGGGTCCCCATGTAACCCTGCAAACCTCTAGCACAGCAGGGAGCATGCACTTGGGGGTCCCCATGTAACCCTACAAACCCCCAGCCTGACAGGTAGCTTGCACTTGGGGGTCCCCATGTAACCCTACAAACCCCCCAGCACGGCAGGTAGCTGGCACTTGCGGGTCCCCATGTAACCCTACAAACCCCCCAGCACGGCAGGTAGCTGGCACTTGGGGGTCCCCATATAACCCACCAATTCCCCCAGCACAACAGGTAGCTGGCACTTGGGGGTCCCCATGAAACTCTACAAACCCCCCAGCATGGCAGGTAGCTGGCACTTGGGGGTCCCTATGTAACCTTGCAAAACCCCCAGCACAGCAGGTTGTTGGTACGTGGGGGGTCCCATGTAACCCTGCAAACCTCCCAGCACAGCAAGTAGCTGACACTTGGGGGTCCCCATGTAAACTTGCAAAAACCCCAGCACAGCAGGTAGCTGGTACTTGGGGGTCCCATGTAACCTTGCAAAAAACCCCCAGCACAGCAGGTAGCTGGCACTTGGGGCTCCCATGTCACCCTGGAAGTCCCCAGCACAGCAGGTAACTGGCACTTGGGGGTCCCCATGTAACCCTACAACCTCCCTAGCACAGCAGGTAGCTGGCACTTGGGGGTCCCCATGTAACCCTACAACCCCCCTAGCACAACAGGTAGCTGGCACTTGGGGGTCCCCATGTAACCCTACAATCCCCCCTCCAACACAGCAGGTATCTGGCATTTGATGGCCCCCATGTAACCCTACAAACAGCCAGCACAACAGGTAGCTGGCAATTGGGGGTCCCCATGTAAACCTGCAAACCCCCAACACAGCAAGTAGCTGGCAATTGTAACACACCCCCCCCCCCCCCCCTAGCACAGCCAGATCACCATCACTGCAAATGCCCTGAATATTGCTCTGCATGCACCCTCCCATTGTAAGCTTTGCATTGCAATCTGCAAAACAAAATATATTTTTCTTTTTTGGTGGGTCAGAGCCCTGCTGGCTCAGCTGAATGCATTCTAAAGACCCCTGAGCCCCCCCCCCCCCCCTGACATGGCTCCTAAGGCTGCAGCAGGATGATGATGAGGCTGGGCAATGGTGTCACAGAAGTCCCCCTCTGCCACAGGGAGGCCAGGCTGGGATGCAGCTCTCCTGATGCTCGCAGGCTGTGATGGGAAGTGCTACTGTTGTTTCTTTGTTGACAATTCCATGAAACAACTTGAGTTGTGCATGGCTTAGCAGGAGAGCAAAGGGAAGGAAAAGGTGGGGGAAGAGGGCTGGGGGGTGGGTGACGTCACGCTGTCACGTGACCCACCAGGCTAGTATATCTTTAACTGGAAAGTAATTTATCAGGCAGTCTTTGAAAAGGGGGCTTTAAAAGTGTCTCAGGCTCATCCCTGCTGGACAGTGTGCCATCTTCTGCCAGCCTCAAGACCTTCTGATTGCACCCTCTCAATTCCTGGACATTGCTTGGAACCCCCCTTCAGACCAGCACCCCAAGACCTGCAAGGAGGGGGCACCCCTGAGGATCTTGCTGCAAGTTGGGTGTCCCCCCCCCCTTCTTCCTCCTCCTCCCCTCTTCTCCACCCTGAAGATCAAGCGAGGAGCTGAGGAGCTTTTCATTGCTGGTGCTGGTAGGAACCTCTGCCTGCTGTCCTTTGCACCCCTCCCTTGGCAGGCTGGCCCACAAGCTGTGATGACCCTTTCTGGCAGCAGCAGTGCCAGTGATATGTCCGGGCAGACGGTGCTGAGCGCTGAAGATGTGGACATCGATGTGGTGGGAGAAGGAGACGAGTCCCTGGACAAGGACAGCGACTGTGAGAGCCACCACGACCACCTGGAGGAAGGAGATGAGCTGCTGGTGGGCAAGGAGCTGCCCAGGAGCCCCTCAGACAGTGCCAACGAGGCTGAGGGCAAAGGAGACCTCCAGGAGGCCGGCTCTGCCCTCCAGAACAAGCCCAAGAGCAGCCTGGTGAAGCCCCCCTACTCCTACATCGCCCTGATCACCATGGCCATCCTGCAGAGCCCCCACAAGAAGCTGACCCTCAGTGGGATCTGTGAGTTCATCAGCAACCGCTTCCCTTACTACAGGGAGAAGTTCCCAGCCTGGCAGAACTCCATCAGGCACAACCTGTCCCTCAATGACTGCTTTGTCAAGATACCTCGAGAGCCTGGCAACCCTGGCAAGGGCAACTACTGGACCTTGGACCCCCAGTCCGAAGACATGTTCGACAATGGCAGCTTCCTGAGGAGGAGGAAAACGCTTTTAAGAGGCACCAGCCCGACAATTTGAGGGAGCAGACCGCCCTGATGATGCAGAATTTTGGGGCTTACAGCCTGGCCAGCCCCTATGGGCGCCACTATGGGTTGCACCCTGCTGCCTACACCCACCCTGCGGCTCTGCAGTACCCCTATATCCCCCCTGTAGGACCCATGTTGCCCCCAGCTGTGCCCCTCTTGCCCTCCAGCGAACTCAGCAGGAAAGCCTTCAACTCCCAGCTCAGCCCAAGTTTGCAGCTTCAGCTCAACAGTCTGAGCTCTGCTGCCTCTATTATCAAGTCTGAGCCCAGCAGCCGACCCTCCTTCAGCATAGAGAACATTATTGGGGTGTCTGCTGCCTCCTCAGCAGCAGCACAGACTTTTTTGAGACCCCCAGTGACTGTCCAGTCAGCCTTGATGGGCCACCAACACTTGTCTTTAACCAGAAGCACAGCCACCATCACCCCCATCCTCAGTGTCCCCACAAACCTCATATCAGGACAATTCCTACCTACAGCAGCGGCCGCAGTGGCCAAATGGCCAGCTCAATAGTCCAGGCCATCCCTCCCCCCTCCCCCCCCTCAACCCCATGGACATTGAACTTGAAAAGAAAGAGAAAAAAAACTGCGAACAGCCACCCATCGCTGCGAACTTTCTAAGTAATCTGTACAAAATTCGGGAATGCTTTCTGTACAGGTAAAAGAAAAAAAAATTTGTACATATTTGTATGGACACATGCAAAAAAAAAAATATATTTGACTTTACTTTCTGGGTTTTTATTTTTTTAAGAAAAGGAAATATGTTAGTTTAGAGCACTGAGCTTTCATTTTTGTTGAAGGTTCACTCCAAAAAAAAAAAAATGTACAAAAGAAATTTTAATTATTAAATTTTCAAGAAAATTTAAAAAAAGTCAATTTATTAAAAAAAAATCTGTTTATATATGAATGAATATATATGTATTCTAAATGGTAATTCATGGTGTTGTACACAGTTTTTTTTGTAAATAAATTTTTAAAAATGGAGCTCTGTGTCTTTAGTGTTTTCTTATTAGCATTTTTTTTTGCCAAGGCTGACCATAAAATTTGAAATCATTTTTTTTAAAGAATGAAAGATCTGTGGGAGATGTGTGTCAGGTCAAGGTTTTTTTTTATTATTTTAATTTCATGCGTTGTGCTTTTGATTAACTGATCTACATGTAAAATGGATGATTTTTTTTAAATTATAGTAATGCATCTTGAAAACCATAAAAAGGTATATATATATATATATATATATATATATATATATATATATATATATATATTTATATGTACAGCACATACACACGCATAACACACACAGATTTCAATACACGAGTTGTATTGTGTGTGTGCATATGTATATATGTGCGTTCAAAAAATATAATATCATATTTATTATGTCATCTGTGAATTACATTAAATTACAATTTATTGAATTCTTTAAAAAAAAATCAGTTTTTTTTTTTCATATATTTTTTTATATGTTCTAAATATTTTATATATAATAATGGTATATATATATATATATATATATATATATATTATATTATATATATATGCACATATACGCAGTATAGATATATATGTATGCAGGTATATAGATAGATAGATAGATAGATAGACACACACAGTGTGTGTGTGTATATATATATATATATATATATTTATATATGTATGTATATATATATACATATATATATATATATATGTGTGTGTATATAAAATATATATATTATTTATTTATAATGTATATATTCGAATATATATATATATATACACAAGCAAAATAAACACCCCTCCAAGGATGTACATATACACATTCAATAATTCTAATAATGTCTTAAATACATCTGTGCAGTTATCTTTCATATATTACTAATGTAAGATAATAGAACATAATACTTTGTACCTCATTATTACATATTACGTTATATTATGTTTCGAATTTATACATGTTTTATTTTTATCCAAGTTTTGTCAAGTTAAAATTTTCACTCATTGCTAAACCTTTTTTTTTTTTCTTTTCTTTTTTTTTAAATTGCTCACATTTCATTTTCTTTTTCATTCACTAAAATTTTCTCTGAGCTCAGTATCAAACCTATGCTTTTGGCAGCGCTTAAAAAATATACCATTGTGCATTAATAAAATAAAAACATACAAAGCTGTGTATTTAAATAAAAATAGATGTAGTACATAAATAAAATAGCATAGGGAAATAAGAACGTTTAAAACACAAAAGTAGATACAAGTACCTAATGAAATAAAAAAATAAAAATACAAATAAAACAAAATAAAACGTATAGGTAATAGATAAGAAAAAGAAAATAGAGATGATATTTAAAAAAAAAAAGCTAATTAAATAATTGGAGGATGTGATTTAGAGGCGCAGCGTTTGCATTTTTTCCCCCGTGCGATATTTAGAAGTTGCGTCACTTTTTGGTCTCAGGCTAATCTGATGCCCCTACTGAGTAAACATTTATGCGGCTGTCTAAATAGAGGGGAATAAAACAAGCT